GTTGGCAGTCGAGGAAACTTTGGAGGATAAATATTGAAAGCTAAATTGTAACATTGATCAGGTCGGACGTACGAAGGAAGTTTTAAATCCTCTAATTTCTTTGTATTTTTTTCTTTTAAAGCCACTGCTGCTTCACTAATGGTTCGACTATGCTCATTTGGCCTATAGGCAGTTTCAAAGTATTTCTAGAATGCTTGGATCTCTTTGATTTGTATTGAAGTACCTTTCTTCACTTTGTTCTGCACAAGGGCAAAAGCTCTAGTTAGGTGGAGATTGAAGGTAGCTACATCAAAGAATTTAGTAGTATAATATTCTTTCCACCATTCGTCAAACTCTCTGGTGCAGAGAAAGCTTAGTTTGAAGGGCAAATGGTTAACTCTGTAAGGTCAAAATACTTGGCTAGCAACTTGGCACATTCTGCTTCATTGTGCCATATGTTGTAGTGGATCGGTGAACCTTTTTTGGGAAAGAGGGGTTTGGGTTTAATCTGAATTAAGCCAAACTATCGAGAAACGAGATTTGGTTGATAGCTAACAAGATTAATTCGAAGCTTAGAAGGGTTGAGTCTTGAGGCCAACAATCTTGGCGTAAGGAAGGATTCCCAGATGTCAAGAGATTCAGCTTTCTGTTCCTTCGACTCAGGAGGGAACCTTCTGGTGAACCATTCAGGGCCTACCTTTCTATTTGTAAAAGGAGCCATGTTGGAAGAAAAATTATGACGCTTAGAAAACATCATCACATAACTGGTGTCTGTTGAAGGTTCATCTTTTCGTCATTGGGAGTCAATAACACAAGCCTCGTCTCTTCAACTCTTCTACTCTTCACTTCGAAGGAAGCTTCATTGATGGGGTTTCGATTAGGAAGGGATGCTTTGAAAGTGGTATTTATCCATAGTTGCAGTAGGCAGAAAGGTCCAGAAAGGAGCAAGTTTTGTTTCGTCTTGATGGTCTTCAATATTGTGACACCTTCACCAAGAGATTCATACAAGCTGGCCAGAATGATTTTGCTGAGACGAAGGCCATGTCCAGCATCCAACTGGTTCGCCATGGTCAAGTACCACTTCACCACTTGGAGAGACCTTGAGCAAAAGACACAACACGAGAGTCAGAGAGCCAAGAAGGAAACATGTTCCTGGTCAGAAACCTCATTGATTTCTTTGTCATGATAATTGGCTATGTAGGTGGTGAAGGCTGCTTTGTTGGTATCGAAACCTATCGAGTCATCAACTAAGAGATTAGGGTCATAATCCACTCGAATGGGTTTCAAGCCAGTAATGGCAGCGACGTCGAAAAGAGTTAGGGTAACCATTCCACAAGGGAGATAGAATTTGTTGTGGGTGTTGTCCCAGAAGTAAATGGAAGCAATGAGCATAGAAAAACAATAAACTAGTCTTATCTTTGACGGCTGGATTAGGTCATAGATGCCCATTTTCTTCCAAATTTGAGACTTGGTTTTTTCTATCTTTTCTAACCAAGCCAAGTAGTCAGAAGGGTCTTTCGACAGAGGGAATGATCTAAAAACCCTAGAGCTAGTATTCATAAACTCTAAGTTTATGGTGTCCCTAGAAGCTATGGTTGAAGGTGAACCTTGACCATCTACCTTCGCTTTTTCATCAATTTTAATTTCCTTATTAGTCCTAGGTTTCGAACTGTATGCTATGGGTTTGTAACGGTGATAAGCTGGAAAAAAAACTCCCTCACTTTAGTGGGGTCAACAGAGAGATCAGGTAAAGGACCTAACATGGCATGAGTCTTTCCAAAAACAAGGAGAGGGATAAGTACCTATAATCGATATATTCTGCGTTTCTCTTCTTCGTTTGAAGGTTCTGAGATGTATTGTTGAATTCCAACTACGTTTGGGCCCAACAACCTATGAACTAGAGGGAGTTCTTTGGATTTCTTGGAGCCTTTTGTGTTCTTACTGGTATCCTTAGAGATTTTTGAAGTGGAAGCCATTGTTGTAGTGAGTGTGCAAAGAAAAAGATTTGAAGAAAGATGAAGTTTTGAGAAAGATGCGCTTCAAAAAATTCAGAAAGAGAAAATAGTAAAAATGGTAGCTTTCACCCTTTTATAGACGGATTGAAGTGGAACGGTTATTGTGCACGATCATTGTATATCACTTATGGTGATAAAAATCATGGGACGCGTGTCATGTGAGGGTGGTGTGATGAGACGATAGCAGTTAAAGGTCTGACCCTTGATCTCCTAGGGACTAGACGTGTGATGATGAAAAAAATTCACACATGGGTTTGAGGAGACGTTTGGGGAAAGTTGTCGTGATGACAATGACGTCATAACAGTCCAAGGGATTTTCTAGCGTTGAATAACAAAGCTTAAAAAATGTATTTTTCTTCATTTCAGTCGAAAATGACATTTTTGGGGGGTAATTTGTTGGCTGGGAATTTCGAATCTATGTTCCCCTTTGAGAAACTAAGTAAAAATGAAAGTTTCTTAAGTTTGGTTGATTTCGACAGGGATTGGTGTAAAGTTTTGTCGAAATGGTTCTCATAAAGAGATATGCTTGAGCAAATACTTAGAAATAATTTCTAAGTATAGGAAGTTACTTCGATGAAGGGATGCTATAAGGCCATCCTTCGACAGACATTTGAATTTCAAATATGGATGGATAACTGTCTTTTGTCCTTATATGTTTCTTAGAAGAAGATGCATGACGAATCACGGTGAAATAAAAGCATGCAGGGGCAAAACGTGTCAACTTTTGAAGAAATGTCTGTTATAGACAGTTATTTCGACATATTATAAATATGGGTCTTAGTATTAGAATTTTTGTGTGTTCAATTATTGTATTATACTCAAATTTACTCAAAGTATCCAGGTTAACGTGAGAAAATAGTCATTGTTGAGAAATGTACGTTTGAAACACCATACATTTTATTCAACAGAAACTTACTTTCTTTTACTAATTGTTCTTTACTATATTTCTTTTACTTTGAAGTTATTATTCTTCATTGCTTTACTTTACCAAACTTTTACAAAGTTTAGCCTTCTTATTTTAAACAAAAACAATTAAACAATCAAACAATCATTTTTACAACTAATGAATATTGTCGAAGTGTTCTACAAATTTTCTAGAAAAACATAGAACACAATAGTTATGTCCTTAGGATTCACTGGTTGATCCTGCAAGTGAACCAAATCAATTAGTGGTTTGGAAGACCAACGCTTATTTACCAATTTTCACGGTAAACAATTGCACTTTTGTCCACAAAAATAGACTTGCCAACCAAGAATAGAAGGAAACACCTCAAAACACACTCCCTGTGGTAGGTAATCTGTAGATCATCGTTGTCGACATTCTCGACCAACTCGAAGTTGTTTTGATATAGCGTCTCCAACGAAGAAAATTTGGCACCTATGGTGCTCTTACACTGCATCAGGCATCCATTGGACCAACTCCCAAATAAATGACCATCATCTCATGGGCTTCATCACGTTTAATCCTAAAATGATCAAGTAACCCCTTGATGAAAAGGTGTAAAAGGAAAGCAACATCATCCAGAGTGATCGTCATCTCGACAATGGGAACGTGGAAAGATGATGCTTTCTTATGCCGACTCTTACCAAAAGCCCCTGACATGCCATGACTAATGGTCTTCTACCCGGAGCAACATAGGTCTGCAAGACCGGAGTACTGGAGGCCACTATAGAACCAATGATCATCAGGCTGATAAAGATTCATAATCTTTCCGATGTGGCTAACACACTTCAAACAACTCCTGTTAAAAAAAACAAAATATCAGTCACAAGACAAGTGTTTAAAAGCTCGTGTTTGCATCAATGGAAGAAGCTAATACCAGTCTTGCCGCAACAACCCAAAATGTAATCAAATCATAGTGCATGTCTCTAACATCTATCTTTTACGAATGTGACTACTACCTAATGCATTTTTAACAAGCTATTTTACCTAATAAATTAATCAAAAATCAAAATAAGTTAAATGAGAAACTTATTCAAAAAAGTGTTGAGGATGAATACGTGGAGTTAGTTTAGATTGAAATGCTTGAATTGGAGATAGTGTTTATCCTTGAAGAAGCTTGAAAAATGGACCGGAAGTATGTCGCTATAAGCTCCAATGTTGCTTGAAGTGAGGATGAAAAAACTTCTGAAAAATGAAAAATGAGAAGAGGGAGAGTTTGACGCCATATATATATATACATTAAACACGTTCGGAAGTGTATCTTCGAATTTTTCCTTAGATTTGAAATTAAGGGTTACTTCGTAGATATATCTGCAAACAAACCCTAAAACAAATATAAAGATGCATCTCCAAATTAAATTTAAAAAAATGAAATGCGTTTAGATATGCATCTCTCAAAACTAAGCACAACTACCAAGGAAAAATGCCTCTCTCAAAACTGAGCGCAATTACCGAGGAAAAATGCCTTAATTTTTAAGTTAGAGCGCAATTACCGGAAAAAAATGCCTTAATTTTTAAGTTAGATTTATGCTCGTGATAATTTTTAAGTTAGATTTATGCTCGTGATATGAGAGTTGAATTAAATTAGTGTAGAATGTAGGAGTTGAATTCAGGCTCATTCTAAACATGAAAGTGAATGTTGAATTTGTATTTTGAGTCTCAAATTATTTAAGTTTGGAAACTATCATAACTAATACAATCATAATTAACACTTCCTTTATCTAAAATCTATTTTACATTTTTCAAAAATTATCAATTTAATCACTTCCAAGCTCATATTCATATTCTTCAATAAAAAGTTTCATATTTATACATTAAATTAAACTTTAATATTCCTAAAATTGACTTAATATTATTAATTGTTTTTTCTACTAATCAGATTAGTCCCAGATTATTTGAATGGTGTAAGCTTATTCTCAAAACTGACACAGAAAAATAGCCAGAATATATTGCAAAACAAAAGTACTACTAACTCATTATAGGTTCTGTTTGCAGTTTTCCAGAAATTATTACAAGAGAATAGAAACAAACAGATTCTAAGTTCACACATAGCATTGACGCATTTACATTGCGACTAGAAAGTTCATCTGACTCGTCCATGACGCAATGGTCGACTTTATTTTTTTCCATGTTGACATCACTCTTTCCATATCGCAAAATGAATGTTTGCCCTTCGCTTCCACTTCTCGAACAGTACTAAGATATGATGCTTGGGTGCAAATTTTGGGTGCATCAGTGCCTTTATAAGCTTTACAGATGTAACTTATGAGGTTTTCAAAATCCTGCAGCAAAAGAAAGTTGTGAGTTCATGTGTTTTCCACGACATAGCATTGTGAAGATGTCAAGCACTGACTAACCTCGTAGAGTGGTTTTCCATCCACAACTACCCATGGAACGTACTCGTGAGGAGGCTGTAGAGCATTTGTTTCATTTGCTAACTTTAGGTCCAACTGCATGAAGATGGTAATCGCTATTTGTGAGATAAAAAAGTTCGCCCAAACAATGGTTCAGAATTCTTTCGGAAATCAAAATCAGAGCTGGTCACAGTTAGTTGGCACTTGGCATAAGTGCTGAGATTCAATTATACATTCGTCTTGGTTCCAGATCCAGTTTTATTTATACTAACCTCGGTTCCGCGTTCACTACGATAACAATCATCAACAAGTGTTGAATTCAGACCCAGTTTCTTATAACAAGATTCCCATTCTCTGCGCTTACCCTGAAGCGCAAGATCCTCAATACAATAGATGAAAGAGAAATGTGTGTCCTGCAAAAAGGCAAGAATCATATTAATAAAATATTTGCTGTTTATAGCACAAGTGCTTATCAAAATAAGCACTTATGAATAAATTTGCATAAGCTATTTTTATAAAAAACAAAACAAATATAAATTATTTTTATATATGTTACACATTAATGAGTTAGTTACAGTTTAACCTTCTCTTGATACTAACTACTAAAAACCTCTTAACCACCCAACTATATTCTTACTTTACTAGCGACACCCACCATTTATTTTCCCGCTTCAATTGTCTGGTCCTAGGCATGAGAGGTGTGTTAAGAGTCGTATGTTTATAAGTGGGAACAAACTTTACCCTACAAACCGGTTTTATAGGGTTGATATATGCCCAACCAATTTTCTTTAACATAAAAACTTATAACAAAAAATAAATTATACATGGAAAGCATTGTTATAACAAACCCAAAGAAAGATCAGATTAAGAAATCTCTGCAACATTAAAATAACCAGAAAAGGTACTAAAAAGGTAATCTTAAACAGTTAACTACCCATTAGATTGCATGCAAGAGAAAACGTACATAAAGGGACAGCAAAGAACATAAGTCTAAAATCATCTCCAATATTTAACTGGCCATGAATGAACAATGACCTACTACAAAACCCTAATTAAGCTCTTATAGCACAAACACTTATTACCATATAAGTGCTTATGTGATCGCTTTTTCTACAACAAAATAAAATATTTTTTGTAATGAGAAAAGGGGAAAAGCAGTTGTTTTTACCAGTTTCGGCCAGATATCAATAGCACACGCTTCAACCGTGTTGAGCAAGCACTCATCTGGACCATGCTGCAATATTTCATCAAACAACAAACCCAAATTTCAACCATTAATTGATGATTAAATCAGATACATAAGAAAATTGAACAAGATTGAAAATTACCTGGCAATCAAAGGTTTTGTTACCTTTGAGTCTAGCATTACCCCAAGGAACGAGTTTAAGATCAACAATGGAGAGAAGATCGTGTTGGAAGATTTGGGGAAGAGAATTGACGATGAAATCGGCGCTGTAAGGGCACAAACTTTCATAGTATAAATCTAGAGAAACCTTGTTGTGAGATTGTGAGGGAGAGAAGAAGGAAGAGAAAGAAAGGAATAAGATGAGAGAAAAAGAAAAGGTGTTGGGAGAAACCATGGTTGATGAATCTCAAAGGAAGTAAACTAAGTAGTTGAGTTGGATTTAAGAACAATAAAGAAAAGAAACTACTATAATTTGCATGCGAGGTAGGACCCAACATTAAACACGTGAACCAGATTTTTCTTTTCTTTTGTCGTGTTTGTGAACCACACGAGACGTCAAGTTACTAGGAATATGTTTTATTTTTTGTTCCCACAATACTTTTGCTCAACCGTTTTTTAGTTCATAAATAAATCGAATCTTTTCAAAATGCCACAAAATTTTATACATACATCCAATATAATTTTCTAAAATGTAAATGTATATAAATACATTCATTCTTCATAATTAAGGCATTTCTTAACCTACACATAATAATGTACGCCAGCTATACTAAAGTTTCTAACATAGCATGTATTAGGTGTATGATCAATAATATCATAATAAAACAACATTTTTTTCACAACCTTTTTTTTTTATGATGACGATGCACAACTTTAGATTTGCTCACTTTCTCTTTAGAAGTTTGGTCACTAACTTTAACAAAGATTGTTTTGCTAAAACTTGGTTTAGAAAACTTTGAGTAACCAAATCCACTTTTATCGTTTGAAAATCTTTGTTGACTTTGGACCCCTTCTAAACCAATTGTTCTTTTTCATATCTTTCTAGAACTCTTTTAAGTTGAACAATTTGGAAAGAAAGTGATTCACAGTTTTTACATGCAAAGTTTTGTTTTTCTTCACTAATAACCTTTTGCTTTTCATTCTTTTCATCTTTTTTCATAGTAATCACTTTTTCTTCTAGAGATGATATTTGTTTCTTTTGTGAAGATATGGTTTTACACAAAACTTTGCATTCATTTAAGAGTTCATTTATAGCCTCTTGAGCATCATTATCATAAAGTGAAAAAGAAGTATTAACCTCATCATTTTCGTCGTCGGAGTGATGAGAAGCCATCAATGTCAAATTTACGCTTTCGTCGCTATCTGATTCGGATGATGAACTTATGTCGTTGTCTTCCCACGCAATATAAGCCTTCTTATTCTTTGTCTCCTTCTTGCCTATGAATCCATTTTTCTTCGTAAGTTTTGGATAATCCGGTTTAATGTGACCTTGCTTACCACATTCATAGCATGTGACATCTTGATTTGATGTGGAAGTCTCCCTTTTCTTGAAGTGTTTCTTCCTTTTTGAATAGCTGAAGGGTTTGTCATTTTTGTTGAAAAATTTTCCAAGTCTCTTAACTAGAAGCATAAAATTTTCATCTTCCTTCGATGCATCATCGTCCGGTCCTTCTTTCGAGTCTACCTTTAATGCTACACCTTTAGACTTTTTCTCTTCATGTTCATGTTTATCAAGACGTCCAAGTTCCAACTCGTGTTCCTGAAGCTTTCCAAAAAGTGATGCGGAAGTCATTGTTGAGAGACTTTTCTTCTCCGATATTGCCGTAACTTTGGGTTGTCAACCTCTTGTTAAAGATCTTAACACTTTCAGATTTAGTTCATGATTGGAGAATGTCTTACCTAATGCAATCAAATGATTGATCAAGTGAACAAATCTTTTCTGGAGAGCAACAATGGATTCTCCGGGCAACATACGAAACATTTCATATTTTTGACTTAGTGTGTTCAACCTTGATCTTTTAACCTCAGTGGTTCCTTCATGAGTCTCCACCAATGTATCTCAGATTTCCTTAGCCGATTTGCATTGTGAAATTCGGAAGAACTCATCCATACTTAAAGCGCTTTGTAAAACATTAATAGCTTTCTTCTCATTTAGAACTCTCTTTTTATCATCATCGTCCCGTGCACTTTGAATTTTTGGAGTACCGACACCATTTACAACACTAATTGGCACATGAGGGTCAGTTTCAATAGTTTCCCATTTGCCTCCTCCTTGTGCCTCTAGATGTGCTTTCATGCAAATTTTCTAGAAGTCGAAATATTCTCCAGAGAACAGAGGAATTTTATTACTGCTACCGATATCTTTAAAAATCGGGTTCGCGCTAGTTGAAGTCATCTGGATCTTTTAGGAACAGGTTACCTATAACCTTCTCTGATGTCAATTGTAAGTAGAGTTGCACCTAAGAGGGGGGTGAATTAGGTACTCAAAATCTTTTTCTGGTCTTGATGTAGATTTCTTGTTTTACTTTTCTAAAAGTTACTAAGTGTTGAATGCACTAAAAGCGAAAAGTAAAGAGACACAACGATGTATCCTGGTTCCCCTCACAGCCCGAGAGTACACCAGTTCCCTTTCAACACGAAAGAGATTTTTCAATATTGTTAGATCCTAAGACAAGACTTCTACCTAGTCTTTCTTATATAGACTCTAACCAATCAAACACCAAGAAAAATCCTCTTGGATTTTTCACTAAGTCCAATGAGAACAATCCTCTAAAAATGGACCTCTTGCTTCAAAAAATCCTGGACAGAAAGGTTACAACCTTACAAACTTATTTCCAATAATCCTGGAAAAATAAGATGTAATCAAAGAACAAATTATTTATGATTTGAGTAAGTTGCAGCAGTCTTCAATTATCAATCTTGCGACTGATCTTCTTCTTGAGATATCAAATCTTATATATCAAATACAAGTGTTCAAAGATAAAGGAATGAAACTATGATGAAATAATGAAATTTGAGGTGCAGTAGTTTCACTCTTGAAAATTAAGAATTTTTTACACTTGTGAAAATTTGGAATTTGGAATTTGAGAGATGAAATGAAATTTGAATTTTTGCAAGAAGGTTAATCTAAAAGTCTAAGATTATGAGGTATATAAATGTCTCTAAACACCTTTTCAAAAGAGTGCAAATGACCAAGAGTTGCCATGGTTCAAGAAGAAATGAGAAAACAAAATTCTACCAACAGATACAATTTTCTGGCTCACTGTGCTAGTGGTAATCGGTTACCATATGTGGGTAATCGGTTACCAGCCTCAACGTTTTAAAAAAAATTGAAAGTTTACACAGGGTAATCGATTACCAGGAATACGTAATCGGTTACTCTGAACAGATTTTACAAAAATCACTTTGAAACAGAGGCAAAAATGCATTGTAATAGTTTTAAAACAATTTTAAAATGATAGGCGAGAATGAGAGATGAAGTTGAACACTTGTACAAGCTATATAGAAGATGAATGTTGTACCTTCATTTGTGTAGAACTTTGTCTTCATTCTTTACCAAGTCATGACATATTGATTTGACATTGAAGTTCTTCAAACTTGATTTCTTTGAGATTCTTTAATTCATCCTTGTATACTGTAGAGTGTGTCGTCATCAAAACCATTTGAGAAGCCATGTTTTCACACTATTGATTGAAAAAAGTTTAACTTTTGTGTGGAAAAAATGGGGTTTTTTTTGAAAGAAACTTTGAAGACTCTTGTGCTAGGAATCAGTGGTCTTATGTTGTTTTCTTGGAAGATCGGTTGCAATAATTCTAAGTTGTAAATCTGGCAAGATTGCTACTATGAACCATTTCCATCTCGTCTTCTTCCACAAATCGCTGGAACGTCTAACTTTCCTTACTGAGATAAGAAAGGATGATGGTTTTCTTCTGATTCTCAGCTACAGATTCAAAAGGACGGCAGAGTATGTTCGTTGATTAACAAGATGATAGTGAATAATTCTGTTAATGTTGCCAGTCAAGGGATACTCGGACGTGTGGCTTTCACAGACAGTGGAGGTTATTCTCGTGCTTCCTCATGGTGTTATTCAACTCGGTTCTTTCTTGCCGATAATGGAGAATATCGGATTTGTGAATGATGTGAAGAACTTGATCTTTCAATTGGGACATGTTTTCGATGCGCTTCTATCCGAAGACTATTCAACAAGGTTTTCTAAGAAAGGCATATTGGACCTATGACTAATTGTATGTCGTTTTCTTTCGATCCACAAGTCATTACCTCAAACTGCATTCCCTCGGTAGCTAGTGGTTCTAACTAACTGAGTAATTCACTGCATGGTCCAACACATGTTGCTGCTCAGACCTCTTCCCTTCACAAGAGAAGAGGCAGGGTTGGTCGTGTACATCCAGGTGAATCCTATCACATTTACCCCAAATGTGTTTATGAAGCTTTTTCTGAATATCAACTTCCTGAACTTTTGAGAACACCCATGAAATCTCTTTGCTTATAAATAAAAAGTTTGCAGGTCGAGAGCATTGGAGAATTCCTATCATCAGCTTTGCAGACACCAAAGCCACGTGCCGTTCAAAATGCTATTGATTTTCTCACGATGATTGAAGCATTAGATGAAAAAGAAAATCTTACCAATCATTGGAGGTTTCTCTTCATGCTTCCTGTAGATCCCAAGCTGGGAAAAATGATTATAATTGGAGCTATATTTCGGTGCTTTGATCTTATTCTTACAATATTTGGTGGCTTTAGTGTCAAAGATCGTTTCCTCTTGTCCCAAGATAAGAGAGATTTAGAAGGGACTACAAAGTTTAGGTTTTCTGCTAAAGATTACAACGATCATATGGCTCTTGTTCGAGCATATGAAGGATGGAAAATGATGAAAGAGAAGGATCAACGTATGAATACTGCTGGAGAAATTTTCTCTTTGCCCAAACTCTTCAGGCAATTCGTTCTCTTCGGAAGCAATTCAGCTTCATCTTGAAAGAAGTTGGCTTGGTAGATACATATGCAAGCATTAATAACAAATTGAGTCATAATAAATCTCTTGTATATGTTATCATATGTTATGGACTCTTTCCTAGCATAACATCAGTGGTGCACAAGGAGACATCCATGTCTTTTAAGAAAATGGATGATGGCCAGGTTTTATTATATGCAAACTTAGTGAATGCACGGTACCAGACTATTCCTTACCCATGGTTGGTTTTTGGTGAGAAATTAAAGGTCAATGTTATTTTCATCCTTGATTCCACTAGTGTATCTGATCCAATACGTATCCTATTTGGCGGTGCTCTAAGTAATAGGATACAGGTCGGGCATCTGAAAATGTTAGATGGGTATGTTGACATCTTTTTGGATCCTAATTTAGCTGACTGCTATTTGAAGCTTAAGGAAGAACTTGATAATCTGATCCAAAAGAAGCTAGAAGATCCTAACATAGACATTCATAAGGAAAGGGAAAAGGAGACGGAAGAGAAGAAGAGGAAAAACTTGACTCTTTCATGTTTTTGGTAATTTGAGTTTTCTTTTTATTTTATTATTATTTCTTAATTTTCTTTTTATTTTAAGCTAGGTTTTTTTAGGCTTATCTTGTCATCATTGGGCTTTTGAGCCCATTGAAATTGTTTCTACACCCATGGTTACTATCTTACACCTCTCATGTTTTTTTAAATTTCATTATTTATTTAAAAAAAATTTAATCTTTGCATAATATTTAATAGGATGTCAAAAATATTCATTTCTTCTCTTATTTATTTTATTTTAAAAAAAGACTAAAAATAATTTTTTTTACATATCTATTTTATCATTTGATATTAAAAAACCATAAAAGGATTGTTGCATTTGTTGTTGGTAGTTATTATGACCATGTGACTTGTTGATTACTCTTTAGCTTATTATAGATTATTGATGGTTTATTGCTTGACTCTTATCTTATTATGTTGATGTGATGAATATCATGATCATGTTACACTTTGACTATTACTTTTAAGTTAATTCTTGAAGTATGAATGATTGTATACCTTCCATGTGATGATCATTTGGTTTGAGATGCTTTACTTTGTGAGTTGATTATATGCCTTGATCTTTGCTTTACACACACGTGTTGTTATGTGAGCTTAACTTTGACCCTTGATGCTTTGCTTTGTACTTCTTGGATATTATGATTCCTATCTTGTTTGATGGCCACTTGTGGTTCCTAAATCTTCATGATTGTTTATGCTTAAATCCAAGGGAAGGGTTCATGGTTAACTTTATAGTCATATGCATATACATTTTGTTTCTTTGCATCCTTTACTAAAGTGGGTTTGTGTTACAGAAGATCTGATGATTTTAAATTAGTTGGCTTCTGTGATGCTGATTATGTTGGAGACAGAGTTGAACGTAAAAGTACTTCTGGAAGTTGTCAGTTTCTGGGAGGCAATCTGATCTCATGGTACAACAAGAAGCAACCCACAATAGCACTCTCAACTATAGAAGCAGAATATATTGTTGCTGCTGATTGTAGTACACAGATGCTCTGGATGAAAAGTCAGCTAGAAGATTATCAGATATATGAGAGTAACATTTCTATCTTCTGTGATAACACTTCTGTTATTTGCCTCTCTAAAAATCCTATTTTACATTCTAAGGCAAATACATATAAAAATTAAACATCATTTCATCAGAGACTATATTCAGAAGGGAATTTTAAGCTTAAATTTTGTTGATACAGACCATCAATGGGCTGATATCTTTACAAAACCCCTTGCTGAAGATAGATTTAAATTTATTCTGAAGAATATTAGTATGGATTTTTGTCCAGAATAAAATTATTATTCAGAAGCAAATTTATTCAGATGAAAAATGATTAATGTCTATATTTGAAGTGTTGCATCTGTAATTTCATTTGTTACCTTTTTTTTGTGAAACTCTGAACTAACAAGCTTTAGAGGATCTGAGCGTTGTTTAACGTTTCATATTCTAAAGAGCTTCATAGGCAAAACAACATCAAACACGTGTCACATGAAATCTGAAAAGGTGGAGTGAACAAAGTGAGACGCCGTTTGAGGTACTGTTTGAATTATTACAATTCTCGTTTTCCCCCCACTTTTGTCAAATCTCATTAAATGTTGAAATCATTTTCTTATTTCTTTAATTAATGTGTGATTAACTGCTAAGTGTTGGTTATGTTTTTTTGTTCCCTAATTTTTTCTCTATATATTCCACAGTCTCACACGATTTCACACTTTCACTCTCTCTCACACACTTTTTATGCATTTTGGCCTTCTCCATTGCTTTCTCTTCTCTGCTAAATAAAAAAGAAGATCAGTTAATCTCAAAAGTTCGTCAATGGCAACTTCATCTTCTTCATCTCAAAAGCTGGAATCAACAATGGCTGGAGCATCAACATCTGAAAAGGGAAATGAAACCTACAAAGCACCAGAACGAACTCTTCTAACACCAGTGGATGATCTAGAAGTTCTTTGTGAGTTCATGGTGAACTTTGAATGCATGGCGAAGAACGGTTTTGATCTTCGTTCAACTGTATTGTCTTAAGGTTGGGTGAATTATTTTGATAGGTTGTTTGGTCCAGTTTATCATCACTTGGTTAAAGAATTCTAGATTCACGCAAAGGTTTGCCCCAAGTTCATAATTTCATATGTTTTGGGTAAGGAAATCATCATCACTGAGGATTTGATTAGAAAGCTGATTGGGTATGAAGAAATGGATGGTGTTACACATCTTTCTGCAGGAAGGGTAGACATGGACGAAGTCTAAAAGAGAAGTCTTCACTTCTGGGTTGTCTTCTAGCAAGATTAAGGATTTGAAGATTCACTATAAAATATGGGCAAAAATCTTTCTGGGGTGTATTCATCACAGAAAATCAACCAACTCTCCAGATTACATTAACGCAGAACAATTGTACTTTCTGTATTGTTTGGGAAACAATATCAAGGTGGATTTGCCACACTTGTTATTTAATCATCTGTGGAACCACGTTAAAATGTCCAGAGAATAGATCAGAACAAAACATCAGAAGATCAGAAATTGGATCCCAATAGGAAGATTAAATTCTGATGTTCTTACAGAAAATGGATTATTTGCATATCTGACAGAGGCAGGTCAGACAGAAGAATTGGAAATTTTTTTGGGAAAGCCTCTGGATGGGAAAAGTTTGCAAAGGATGAGGCTGGTGGAGGAACTTCAATCTGAACCATTCAAGATTGACTCTGCTGTTGTGCACAGAAGAAGAGTCCTAGTGGAAGACTTTCCACTGTTTACTGCAGAGGAGCCCAGAGAAGATTCTCCCACCACAATCGGATCATAGGGGCAAATGGACTCCCAACTATGAAGGTCCATATATCATTCGAAAGGTCTTCTCCGGAGGAGCCTTACTGTTGTCCACCATGGATGGTGAGGATTTTTCATCCCCTGTGAACTCGGGCGCAGTTAAAAAATACTTTGCTTAAAGAGACCCGCTGGACAGAAAAAAGAGAGTCTGGAATGAAAACTGTCACGTATGAACCGATGTTTAAACTATTGAAAAAAGATCAGGCAATTGTCTGGAATGAAAACTGTCAAAAGGCGTTTAAAAAAATAAAAGAATACTTGCAGGAACCTCCAATTTTGATACCCCCAGTAGCTGGGAGACCACTGATCATGTACTTGACGGTTCTTGAGAACAGTATGGGTTGTGTTCTCGGTCAACATGACGGGACTGGACGAAAAGAGCATGCGATCTACTACTTGAGTAAAAAGTTCACAGATTGTGAGTCCCGTTACTCTATGCTCGAAAAGACGCGTTGTGCACTTGCTTGGGTTGCCAAACGTCTGAGATAATACATGCTAAATCATACAACCATGCTGATATCGAAGATGGATCCGATCAAATATGTCTTTGAAAAGCAGACACTTTCAGGAAGGATTGCCCGATGGCAGATGGTACTGACAGAGTACGATATACAGTATGTCTCGCAAAAGGCTATCAAAGGTAGCGTACTGTTAGAGTACCTGGCTGAGCAGTCAATCGATGATTACCAGCCGATGAAGTTTGATTTTCCTGACGAGGATATCATGTACTTAAAGATGAAAGATTGCGAGGAGCCGTTGCATGGGGAAGGTCCTGAGCCGGGTTCCTAATGACAATTGATTTTTGACGGTGCTGTGAATTCATATGGAAGTGGAATTGGGGAAATCATTACGACTCCCCATGGGACGCACATCCCGTTCACCGCCAGACTGACATTTCCAATTACCAACAATGAGGCTGAGTATGAGGCGTGTATCATGGGTCTCGAGGAGGCTATTGATTTGAGGATTAAAAATCTTGATGTGTATGGAGACTCCGCGCTAGTCGTGAACCAGATCAAGGGAGAGTGGGAGACTCGTCAGCCTAATCTGATACCGTATATGAATTATGCGAGGAGGTTGTTGCCTTTCTTTAACCGAGTAGAGTTTCACCACGTGTCAAGGGCAGAAAATCAGATGGCTGACGCTCTTGCGACATTGTCTTCCATGTACAAAGTTAACTTTTGGAATGATACTCCCAGAATAGTTATCTCTCGCCTTGATAGGCCCGCCTTCATATTTTCCATTGAGGAAGCTTCCGATGGCAAGCCGTGGTATTTCGATATCCAGAATTTCCTAAAGAACCAAGAGTATCCGACTGAGGCATCCGGCCGCGATAAGAAGACTCTTAGGAGATTGGCTGGCAACTTCTACTTGAATCCAAATGGTGTTTTGTACAGGAGAAACCATGATTTGGTGCTACTGTGATGTGTGGATGAGAAAGAAGCTAATCTGCTTATGGAAGAGGTCCACGAGGGTACCTTTGGCACGCACGCCGAAGGACATGCCATGTCTCGAAAGTTATTACGAGCAGGGTACTATTGGCTGACAATGGAAAGAGACTGTTTCAAGTTTGCAAAGAAGTGCCATAAATGTCAGATTTATGCAGACAAGATTCAGGTGCCGTCGAGCCCTTTGAATGTTATGGCGTCC